ACCCTCTTACAGAGGGTGGACTCCGACAGTACCTGTGGCTGAGCTTCTTTTTTGGGACAATCTGACACTTTCATAGCGGTGACTTGGATTAGAGGAAACAGAGTGCATGCAAAACCGTGTCCCTTTCCCCTACACACACACACAACGTAACACAACACTGTATTTTCTCCTCAGGCCAAAGACTTTGGTCCCCATTCTTACACTGGACACAGACTGTTTTTGCACACATACGCATATTTAAACACATTCACACACACACACACACACACACACACACACACACACACTCATACATACAAATGCAACTCCCCCACCCGTGCATCTTTCAGGGAGCTCAGTCAACTGTTGATCCCATCAGCGAGGACTCAAACCCAAACAAGCAGAGAGCAACGGTTAGTCAAAGACTGCACCAAAAAATGCTTTGACAGAAACCGTTAAAACCATGAACCAAGAATGTTTTCCTGTATTTATTTATTTTATAATATTGTATGTATATATGTATGCGTGGAGACATGATATGACATAAACTGGCATATGAGCATGCACGAGCATGTACACAAAGGAGTGCGTGGGGCACACGTGTCATATCAGAAAGGACATGCTACATATATGGAGACGAACATCCATTCATGTATATGAGGAGGTGAGGGTCTTTTACAGATACAGTATGTATATTACAGATCTTGTTATTTTTACTATTATCCTAAATCAGGCTTATGATACACCTATCTTTTTCACCTTTAAAAAAATCACACTATTGCCTTTAAGAGAAATCATATAATTAATTATTTTAACAAAGTGCAATGAACCACAATTTATTTAAGAGATGATTATGAATAGAAAACAAATCACTGTATTATAAATTGACAGTTATATTTGTATGTATGTACTGTATGTATATGTATATTTGTTTTTGAAAAATGCTAAACTGCAGCCATCCACAAGCAAAATTGTCCTTAGTCAGTCTCTCTTCCTCTTTGTCTCTTTCATGTTTTTGCATCCTTTGACCTCAGCGTCTACTTTATGTTCATATTGGAGTAATGATGCCGAGACTATTCACCACAATGGAGGGAGGCGGGGCTACTGTATGCATGCAGAGTTTATGTGTCTTATATTTTTTTTGCCAATTTTAAAGCATAATCAAACTTGATAATTGCACAGTATTAATGACCTCATCTAACATGTTGAGCATCATCAACGTCACAAAAAGTAACCTCGACATTAAACATGTCCATAAATGATACACAGCTATGCTTTTCCACTGTTTATGTGTGAATGTATTTTTTGTTTGTTAGTCTGTTTTCCGCATGTGTGGTACTTGCATGTTTGTGTCTGCAAAACATAGCCCGGTGGCTCAGTCCGTAAAGGCTATTTTTTGACAGTAGTGAATGTGAAAGAGACTAGACTTTACTTGTTTTGGCATCCCATACAGTGTATATAATCTATGTTTAATAATTCTTGAGTTAATTCAGATCAAAAATCTAAAATATTCTTCACAAATGTTGGCTGCTATTAAATAGAGATATTTATATTGATTTAATTTTATCTTAGAAACACTGTAGCCATATATGTTTATTTCTTTCACAATATCAAGAACACACAATTAAAGAATAGTTTGACATTTTGGGAAATGCGCTAATTCGCATTCTGGCTGAGAGTTTGACGAGAAGATCGATACCACTCTCATATGTCTATGCTAAATATGAAGCTACAGCCAGCAGCTGGTTAGCTTAGCCTAAACAGGGGGAATCAGCTAGTTAGCTAGCCTGGCACTTTCAAAGGGTTAAAAAAATCCTCTAAATCTCATTAATTACTCCTGGAAGTCACTCCTCTGGGCCAAAAAAAAGAGCCCCACTACAGCCACAGCTTGACATTTTTACACTAAATGTTACACTAATTAGCACATTAATCCCCAACAAAAAAAGTTGTGATTTTTACAGTTGGTGATGTGTCTGTAAATGCCTTATACTCCAGTACTAGTACCATACTAGTAAGTATTCCTGGAGTAATTAGTAAGCTTTATTTATTTATTTTCTTGTCTTCATGCTAAGCTAGGCTAACATCTTCCAGGGCTCCAGCTTCATATTTAGCATGATATAAGAGCGGTATCAATCTTCTCATCTAACTCTCTCTGCAAGAAAGCAAATAAGTGTAAATGTCTGTGTGTTTCTTTTTTCGTTTGTGTTTTTTGTGCTTTAGTACCTTCTTGCCCTTATTGTTTTACCTCATAAAAACAGGAAAGAGTTTTAAGATACTGTATGTGTGCTTGAAATTTTTCCTACAAAAGTTTTAGTGTAGAATAATTGTTTACTTCATATCTGTAGGGGCCTAGATTTTTAAGTCTAACTATAAAGTTACTTTGATTCCACTTCCAGACCTGTTCATTAATATATGTACTGTATGCTGGCAGTTTTTTTGCCACCTTACAGGCAACATCAGTGTCCTAAAGGTGAATGCCATTCGTTTAATATTCAGTTACAGTTTGTAACCACTGGTGGTCGCTGTTTCCATATGTAATCCAATGTGTGCCTGTTAGCAGCCTCTGAAAGCAGCACACATGGACAAACAGCCCTTCCATTTGTTAAGCCACGAGGGGCGTCTGGGTTGTATAACCAGACATACAGGACTCTGCGTTGTTTGCAGATGTGTTCGCTGTTGTTTATTGTTTACTTGAAAGTGCTCCTATGCAGCAGGCCCACTCTGCTCTGCAGGGACAATCACTCCAGAGATAAAGCAATGAATGACGATCAGTTTGTAAGATTGTGCTTGTGACATTCATACTCTGCTTTGCTTTACAAGCCATTGGATGTCAGTGTCTGACAGGGGAACAAGAAGCATGATAACATTGCAAACCTCCAAACGCACAACAGGAAACAATGGGGGGGGGGGGGGGGGGGGGCTGCCGGGCTGGGTTATTTCAATTTTCTGTTACACACCACTTTACACACAAATCTTTTTCTCTCACACACTCCATCCTCTGCTGAACAGAGATTATCATTCTTCCGTTATGTGAATGCTTTGCAGGCCTGTGTTTAACTGGTCTTTTGTCCATCCCAATGCTGCTACTGTACCCATGTGCTGTCCATAATGCTTCTTCTACCTGAAAACAACATTCCCATTGCCTCCACCAGCTGGTGGTTTAATAAAAAAGTGAATGATTAACAGACAGACAGTTGGTGGCTCAATGTACTCAATCTAAAGCTCTGCTGCTTCTATATGTTTTGTTATGAGGCTGTTGGTTTGCTTTAGCAACAACAACAAAAAAAAAACAGCCAGTTGCTAAATATGACTTTCTTTTGAATAATATATGCACGCTTGTTAGTCATTGAAATATACAGTAGCAATTAAAATGTGACTTTGTAACTTTTGAGTGTATAAATAACAGTGTTCCTCTTTCATAGGCAATAAAATGCACCCTTACCCAATTCAATACACTTAGCAGTTTTGCTGCTACAGCCTTACATGGTCTGGTATGGCCAGTAGCTAGTAATGGCTAATTTTAGCTAATGTTAGCAAATCCCATAATTGTCACTTTTGGCTAGAGTGATTGCTTGTTCAGCTAAAGCTACATAGTCTCGCTGAAAACCTACATAGAAGTAACAACACAGTGAAGAATGAAAAAAAAGAGGCTGCTGAGGGCCAGGGAATATAAATGAAATATGTTTTGTTCACTAGTAATAATATTATTTTAAGCCAAAATACATTTATGCAATATAAACATTAATGAGGCTTTTCAGGATGTGTTGGTCATCTTTTATTGAGGATAGTAACTTTGCTGTGCTCACTGAGGCAAAATTGCTGAGTCAGGAAATGCTGCAGCAGCACACATCATTACATAATGTGATTCAACTCTAGGAACTCTAGGAGCAGCGAGTTCATGAAATGCATAGAAGTTTATAGGCCCGAGAATTGAGCCCAGGAGGCTCTTTACTTTGATTATGACTCGCTTCTAACAATCCAATTCACAGCGTTTCAGCACTTTAAGGAACACTATGTAACTAACTCTGTAATTGAAAAACACATTCTTCCTCTTACAAACAATAAGTTGAACTCTTAAGCAATAAAGCGACCCTTACTCATCACACGCAGAGGGTTTAGCTGCTACTGCATTAACTGGTCTGGTATGACCAGTAGCTGGCTGGCAGCTAATGTTCATGAACTTCAGAAAGATAATGCTATGTAACATGTATGTGACTGTTGTGCTACTGTAAAGCTACATTTTAGCATGTCAACTTCTTCACAAAGTGGCTGCTTTTCAACAAAACTTACATAGTCTCAACATCTGCAGATAGTTTTCCACTCAAACAGCTTTGAAACATCTTATTCCACACTGGCTGAAAGAAAAAAAGAAGATAAAGTCTTTGGGTTTGAAAAGTGTTTGGCTGCGCAGCATGACTTTGTACTGCATTTCAGATTTTTCATTACTGTCCTTGATCTTAGCTTGTGTGTGAACCACCACTAGATGCATGTCCACCATCAGTCACATTGCACATGTCTTTGGACAATGAAAACATCAACTTCTATATCCACAGCATCTCCCAGTTTTAATTTACAATGGTGAAGATCTCGTTTGAAAATGAAATGAAAATTGACGGGAGCTATTACTGTGCAGATCTTTTGCCTGATTCTTGCCTTTTGATCAGGCACATGTAGAAGTTTTTTGGATGTTCTACACACTTTCTGTCACAGGGCCAGATCTACCTCAGGGCTAAAATGAGCCGTGGGCCCCTGTTGACCTCCTGTTTCTTACAGTTTCCATGCATTGTGTATTAGAAAGTAGCAATGTGCTTGTGGTCTCTTGATTAGGCAAATATTTATTTCAGCGTACCATACTACTTAAGTTTATATTGTGTTTTAGTAATGAATATATTAATGACAATCACATGAGCTAACTTACTGCCACAAGGTGAACCTGGTGCCTGTTAATTGCCCACTATGCTTGGTAATCTGGCCTCGCACAGTAGATAGTATAAAATATAAACAACAGAACAACAAGAAAAGTATGAAAAACTATCTTTATTCTACATTTTTATGTAATTTACCTCAATGTACAGTCTGTAGGATAATGTCTGGAAACAAACAAACAAAACACTGTTTGGGAAAACATGAACTGATATGCATAAAAACAAAAAAGTTTAGTTTAGAAAATGAAAGGTGACATTTTCGGCACCTGTCGTTAATATGGATGCATTTTGGGCATCACAACAGTGGATACAAATCTTCTAAAGCACTGTAACCTGTTTGTCAGGCTTTAGTTAGTTCAAAGTCTGAGCGACAGGCTTCTGTGGTGCTGTATAAATGTTAACAAAAAAAAAAAAAAAGATATTTGGAAAAAATTATAAGAAAAGGAAATGTCTATTTACAGTTCTGTAAACCAAGACCATGTAAAAACACTAGCTTAGAAAAATAAAGAATAACCCCATGGTGTTGATTACAAGGAACATCTCTGTTAGGGTACTGAACATGCTATTCACATTTCCCTTCATTGTCAGTTTTCTTTTATACAGGTTTACAGTTTTTTTTTGTCCCTGTGTAAACTACAATGACGGATGTAAAAAAAGCTTTTCTTAAAATGATGCAATCCACATAGAAGTAAAACCAATGCTACCATTACCACCTTGGCATATCGGATATGCTTGTTATTTTCACATGCATATTCAAATTATGCAAAGAAAGACAGTCAGCTATTTCCTATTAGCAATGCAGCTACCCCCTGCAGCATATCCAGTTATTCTATGTTCAAGAAACAAAATCAAAATTGAGAATACAAACATTAAATTTGTAAAATAAAAAAAAGAATAAAAGAGTTGTAATATGTTTCTTTATATCCTACAAGGTTTTATCCAATGAATTAGCAGTTTAACACATTCTCCACATCAAGCCAAATCAAAAATTATGCAAAAAATAGACGGCATGTTCGTTCCCTTTTGTGGCCTAAATCAACAGGCCGATCCAACACTTACAGGACTGATACAACATGTCAAAACTAAATATAATATCAAAAGGTGAGGAAAGTTAACATACAGGATACACTTGATGTTAAAAAAGGAAAGAAAAAACAAGGTCAAGTCAACATGTTTGAAATTCAGGCAGCTCTCTTGGAGTTCAGCATACTAATACTGATGCATTTAGAAACACATGTTAAACGGACAAATGGACAGCCAGTGATAAGTGGGCTAAAGGCCCTGAAAACGTATTGTCTCCATCAGCTTCTCACTATGGACGATGGGGTCTCCCATAAACACTGTTTTTCCTGACAAAGGTTTTGTTATTTCATATGAGAGATATGAGTTTTTGTTTCTCTGTGCTCCTCTCACTAGATCAAAGTGGGCAAGGCTACGTTGGGAAAAGCTGACGTCACATACTTCCCTTTACCAATCAGGATTTAGCAACATTTGACTCAAAATCTGACTGTCGGTGGGGTTTTTTGGTCACTAGCCAATATGCCATCTAAATTTAGAACATATATAAAAACATATTTCCAGAAAGTAAGCAAAAGAAAATGCAAATTAACATGCGTTTCCATTTACTACCATTTTGGAAATATTCAGACTTGGTTAAAAAACTGGAGGTGCTAATTCTCCAGTCAAGTGGCATTAAACCACTGCAGAAGAGCGTGCTTAGTAAAAAGAGCCTTTCAAACCTCAAACTATGTGGAAACATGATGGAAATATTTGGCATTAGTATGTTAAGTTTCATGTATTAATTTGAAGAAGGCCGCACTACTTTGATATTTTGACTTTTGTTAGAAATTTCTGGCGTTTCCAACCAGATTGGGGGGTTTTTTTGCGCTAACTGAAAGTATGGAGGGAAACTTACTACTTAGTGTCAAATAAATCAAACCACACCCACACAGCAGATTTAAGTTAAAAGTCTTTATAAATAATTTCATAAAAAGATGCGTTTTTTTTGTCATAAATATTTAAATGTTATGAAGAAGATTTGAAGTCTAGTTTTCAGGGGCTTTAAGTTCAAAAGGCTTGTCTTTTGTTGACCTGTAAAGTTCAAAGCACATGCAAAGTGCTTACACTCAGAAATCTCCATCCAGCTCTGAACTAGCAACACAGTTCTAGCTGTGTGAAGATAAAGATCGACACTATAATGAAATAGTAACTTGACAGTGTTCAGAGGCCCAACAGAAGAATACAATGTACACACTCAACCCCACACTGTGTCGACACGTTTCCCCCAAACCAGGGAGAAAAATTAAACTGAAATGAACTTTATAATGTACGTTCTAAAAAAAAAAAAAAACAACATATTTCCTTAGTCAAATAATAGTCAAATACAGTCGTCAAGTTCCATCTTCGTTAATAAAAGTGGAAAAAATACTGCATGTTAAGCTGCTGGTGGCGTTAAACCATTCAACCTCAGAGCTATTTGCAGAAACACGACTGTAGTTCAGGGTTGCCATAGAATCTGTCTGCATAAAAACCAGTCATAGTCCTCATTGTTGCTTGGAAACAAAATATCAGAGCCACTTGTGTACCACAACATGTTCTCTCAACCAAACTTCAAACAACAAAATGCATCTGGTTATTGATTGGTTTAACGCCGGCTTGTGCTTCAGCGCTCCTGTGCTTCTCTTTAGTACAATGGATTCTTAGCTTACCATCACTCAGGACACTGCAGTCTGAGTGAGTCTCACACACAGAAACACACACCCTCACATACAAGTAAGAGAACAAGAGAACAGACAAAATGAAACTAAACAGATGAAAAACCGAATGTTGTTCCCATGTTGCATAAAAAAATCTGTTACAATACAGGATGTGCATCTTTTTTTTCGACATCGTAAACTGAAGAGGGTTTTTCGTGTGATTATAATGTGCATACTGTGTCAGCAACGCTAGTCTGTTAGGATTAAAACTACAGTTTACTGGCCATGTCTAATGGATTTACATGTGACTAAATCTATTTCATTCACCAGCAGGTCTTAAAATCAGCTTATAAAATATAACAAGTGTGTGATGTTCTGTCTGTCTGACTGGAAAACAATAAAGGAATCAATTAAAACCATAAAGTGTTTTTTTAAATAAGGAAGTTAGGAAAAGTTGTGTTTTAGAGGACCAAGCATGCAATCAGTCAGATGATCCGTCTCACTACCGGTCATTTTTTACTTTCCTCAGAAATCTTGTGTGTGTGTGTGTGAGAGAGTGAGAGAGCGTGTGTGTGCATACAGAATTGATACACACACACACACACACACACACAGATGATGATGATGAGATGTTTTTCCTCTCTGTCTCACTTCAAAAGAGGTGACTACCTGACTCTACTGGAAAACATAAGAAGGTAGGAACAGGAACGTGGCTTTCCTCTCCTTGCCTAGCTTTTTACTCCTCCTCCTCTTCTTCTTCTTCTTCCTCCTCCTCCTCTTCTTCCTCCTCCTCATCATCATCCTCATCGTGGCAGTGAGTGATCTCCTGGGGAGTCTGCGGGAACAGGTTTGGAGGTTTGATCTCGCTGAAGGAGCGGGTCAGCTGGTTGCGTTTGCACTCCAGGTCCTTGCAGTCGCTGCAGTGAGTGCGGTTGCGCGTGGCCAGTGGCGACTCTGTGTCGATGTCCACGTGGGTGTGTTCCACAGTCGACTCGTGTGGCATCTGGGGAGGAGGAAGGATAAACTGTGAGGAAAAATAGTTTGGCAACACAGCGCCAACTAACTGGAAGAGTCTGCTCTTTAATTAAAAGCTAACTTTGGTGTTTTTCCACCGGGACACTATTTTCATGTGTTTATGTGACTAAATAGGACAACATTTTTTCAAATTGGTTCAGTGTTGAGCGAGCGCGCTGCAGTCGGCAGCAGTGAGACAGGTCTGCAAAGTAATCCTTGCAGGCAATTGCACCCTGTCAAAATACGTCCACTAAAGCGCTTCTTTTTGCCACCGACAGGCTCAGATTGTTATTAGTGTCTGACAACATTGTGGAAAGGATCCATACATACATTATTTAAAAGAGTAGCCTTTTTGTTAACCAGAAACAGTCGCTATAGCGCTCTCTTCAAAGCCACAAGACTCAATTGATAAAAATAGTAATTTTACCTCCCAAGTCTACTGCTGCCTCGTTCGGTTAGTTTGCGTTATTGTCCGACTTTACTTAACTTACAGACCAAGGCAGTGGTAGACCAGCAATCATGGTGTTCTGCAAGGTAAAATTACTGTGTTTATCAATAGAGTCTGGTGGCTTTGATGACAGCAATACAGTGATTTTTTCTGGTTAAACAAAACGGAGCTTACGCTTTAAAAAAAAAAAAAGAAAAAAAAAAAGAGTCTATCTGTGTAGGATCCTTACCATAATGTTCTCAGACACTTAATAACAATCTGAGCCTATCAGCAGCATAAAACAAACAATTTAGTGGACATACTTTGAAGGGGGGCAATAGCCCTCAGGGATTGCGTCGCAGCCCTGTCTTGCTGACTGCAGCAAGCTTACTGTTGTCCCCATTAGTCAAATAGACAGAAAAACATTGTAGCACAAGGTCCATGGTTTTAAAATATAAAAGTTACCGTTTAAACGGCAGGTTTTCGGTACAGGGCTTTTGTCAGGATATTTTAAGGAACAGGTACCAGATAAAGACTTCATTTGCCACACCCTCAGATTCTTTTCATTTTCAAACTTGACCTTTCTATTTGTTAAAAGACCAATGACCTGAGAGAAATGTCTACAGGTCTAAACGTCTTGTAAAGTTTTAGAATGAGTTGCGAGGAGACAAGACTTTCATATCAGTAAAATAAATGGTTTACGGTTTACACTCACCAGTACGTGTGCAGCTCTGAAGAGGTAGCTGAAAGGATAGTACAACAGGTTGATGAATGAGGCTGCGTACAAGTCGGCGTAGCGCATCACTTGAGAGGCGAACAAGGTCTGTCTGGAGCCACTGCGGAAAAGGCTGCCCATCATGCCATAGCACATGTCCATGTCGTGTGTCACTTTCTAAAAAAAAAAAAATATTTCCATAAGGAGAAGAGAAGACACTGTGAGCTTGCAAAATCGTGCCCAAAAAACAAGATATATTTATCCACTTCTAAAAGGATTTACTATCCTGAAGTATAGTATCTTTATCAGGAGCGTTGGTTTGGTTGTTCATTGATGCAACTGAATCAGATATTACCCACCAGGCACTGAGAGAACAATGAGGAGGTGGATTATTGTTAATGATTAGACTATAGCCAACACATACACTGCATCAAACAAACTGTAAATAGGGGCAATTATAACAAGGCCGTCTTTGGCAGCCAGTGATGAAAGCATGTGGGCAGGTCTCTTGTTGACAAAGTACTGGAGGTGATTATGGCCGTACCTTGACTCTTCTCTGTAGAGTGCTGATGTCTGGCCTCTCATTACTGCTGCTGTCCAGATGTCTGAGGAAGAACAGGGAGAAACACGATGAGAGAGGGGGGTCGGTCTGCTGAAAAGTGATGTAACAGCAGGCTGTACTAGGCTATAAATAACACAAGTGAACACGGTTATCAGCGTGGCCTGCGACAGCCGACCCTTCAGACTTTACCCTATTGACCCCGTAGTTCTCTCTCAAACACACGCTCACATGCATGCAAAGAGCAAAGAGAGAGCAAAGAGCAGCAGTACCATGGTGCAAGAGGAGGGAGGTGGGATATGATGAAGGAGGGGACAAACGACGCTAAAAAGGTGATAACTCACTTGTAAAGTTCTGCGAGGAAAATGTCCAGGCCCTGCAGTTCCTCGAATAACGCTGGAAAACACAAAAAGAGGGTGAATCTCAGTCTCCTCGCAACATTGTTAAAAGATTTATAGTGCATACGCAGTGTTAGCCAGCATTAGTTAGCGCTAGTATAATGTTCATAGTTCTGTGTTAGAGAGAATGTGACTCTCTGGAGTCAGTGTTTGAACTTTGTTACTCTTCATTACATTTAGCTTATGTCCTACTCATGTGTTTATCTAAAACTTGCAGGTCACACATCGCAGCTGCTGTTCTAGGTCAGGTCCCTGTTGAGACTGTTCTCTACCGTTTGTCTACAGACTCACAGCTCTTGTCGGTCCACACGTGGAGCTCCTGGGCCAGCTCAGGTATAACTAGGAAGGTCCTCCAGCCTTGACGTTTCTTGGACTTGAGGATGTCTCCAAAGATATGGTCCCCAATGTAAACGATGTCCTTCCCCTTGGCCCCCAGCAGGTCACACACAATGTCCGAGGAACCTAATGGAGAATGACGTGACATTAAAATCTCTGAACAACCACAACTACAGACAACTAAACACAAGGTGAAAAAAGGAACAACTGAAGAAAAATAGAGCCTTACCTCCAGAGTAGACTATACCATGCTGCAGAGGTCCCGTGTAGGTTCCTATTTTTAAACGCCCGGTTTTCTGAAATGAGGAAAACATACCAGAAGTCATTAAGTCAGAACATATATACTGTCTGTAAACGGCTACATTTTCTCCACTTGTTCGGCCGGTTATGCTGTACACAATTACTTTTTACCCATACTCTTTTCATTGTCCTGGCAAACACAAACAAACCAAAATGAGTCATGCATGTTTTTGAGCCAAGAGAGTTTTGCCATTTTAGCTGTGTGTTCTGAGTCTGCTCACCGTGTCGACTTGTCTGAGCACCGTACCCTCTCCGAAGAACAGGGGCTTCCTGGCATCCACCAGGATCAGATCAAAGTAGGACTGCCAGGGCCGGTGAGAGGTACCAGGCTGTGGTGGATACAAACACACGCATAGACATAGGAACATAGGCTAAAGCATTTTTTTCACCTTTACCTGCATACTGCTCACATTTCAAAGAGAGATTAAAGAGAAGGAAAAGAAAAGGCTATATTTTACCTTTGGGCCATGGGGGAAGTCAAACAGGTAGTTCATGATTTTCTGTGAGAAGAGAACACACAGACTGGCAGTCAAATCAAACGCATCGGAATTAATACAGCTGGTTAGTGCTGCAGATCGGAAGAAATTCAAAGAAATCATTGGCTGCAATTTTTTTAAATGCCCTTATTACTGTGTTCCTCCAAGAACTGAAGCTTCGACCATGACGGTATGCCTTCACTCACATCAGTGTATTTGTAGTCACTGTTGGTGGCCAAGAAAACCTTGGCGACTTCATTCATTCGGCTGAGAAGAAGAGGCAGCTTTCCCTGGTGGGAACAGAGAAGAAGAAAGAAAAGGGAGAAGACTGAATCTCTAAGCATCTTTATAAACCAGCCTCTTCACACAGTAAAACAAAAAATGTGGGACACTGTGTGTGTGTGTGTGTGTGTGTGTGTGTGTGTGTGTGTGTGTGTGTGTGTGTGTGTGTGTGTGTGTGTGTGTATTCACAGTACACTTGAAGCATCCTTGATGAATACAAATTACTTACATCTTTCACTACATACTTCTCCAAGTTCTCAACGGTCTTCTCCTTCAGAGTACCCTGCACATGTGAGACACGGGAGTCAGACTAAACACTGAAAGTCTAGATTTAAATGAATTACACAGTCGGCACAAATATCACCTTCTTAAGTTCATCAATACCAGTCATTTAATTCAGTAACAGTTCAGTGACAACCCACGCAGCAACACGTGAGGGCTTGTAGTGTTCAGCTGTGGGTTGAACAGGATGTGTAAGTGGAGAGCGCAGCAGTAATATCGAAGCAAGATTATTGGTGAGCTAAAAATAAATAAATAAAAACCACGACAACTTGCAAAAAAATGCCAACACAATGGAGATCTGAAGGTGAAGGTACCAAAATAATTGCAATATAACAGAAAATGTATTTACATGAATGCATTTGCATCTCCAGTACATGTAGAATAAAATATCCTGCATTGCAACAAAGGTCCCTGTACAGAATCAAACGACTCACCTATGGTACACTGTATGAATCCCGATCACCAGGACATCCTGATACCCCTGCTCTTTGATTCTATGGGCCTGACAACAACAACTTACTGTGTGTCCACCACAGATGTTTTAGATGGCTATATTTTTTTGTAATGCTGTGTAGAGTATCTTGGATAGCCCCAGAAGGTGACTATTTATGATTCAAATGACTCCCTGGCATTTGATCTATTGCCACCATCCAGTTTGCTTTCCCCTTGACAAGTTGTCTCAATAATGGCTGAACTTCTCCCAAATATAATGTCGTGATGCATGGACCCGATAGATAAATCATAGCGTGCTTTCACACCTGACCTGTTGGGGCTTGGATTAATCTAATTCTGGTGCATTTCCCCATTAAGTTAAATTAGTTCATGCTCATGTGAAGGTTTTTAATTAAACTCTGGCGCAGACTGAACAACTAGAACTCCAGACAGGAGCATTACACACTGTGGTTACTCTAAGTAGCACACAGACATGAATGTGAAGCACACAGGGGCAGTTTAATAACTGAAAGGTTAAAATCACCGCCATAGAAAGTTCTCTTACTTTGAAGTGTACCCAGTCGACAGCATCACGGATGTCCTGGAACATGCTTTTATAGGACATGAAGAGGTCGCCATTTTTGAAGCCAGTTTCACAGCTGGGGGAGAGGAGCAGAGACAAACACATACACAGCCGTCGGACAGGCCACATCTTTACAGAAGGTTTTCAAAAACATGACATTTGTTTTTTTGTTTGCTTTTAAATGGGATAGCCTTCCCTTGTTGGAGGGGTCCCCAGCCAAACAGGAAAGCATTCTCCCCCTAAAAGACCAACAACCAGGTTTCAGAGGACAAAGGACATGCAACCATTCCAGATTACATTCTCAACAAATTTACAGGCCATTGTATCTCCTTACAGCAACATTTAAAAGAGTATCTTATTGTTATATCATTTCATTCTCTATAAATAGTTAGTGAGAACATTTCTCATTCCTATCTCATTCTGATACGAATGCATGCTTTTCTACAATTAGTAGAATAGATTAATAAATCACTGTTGAAGAAAAAAAGAAGGGTTCTTTCACTGAACTGCCATTTGATTTCCATTTTTAAACAATTAGCTTAGATTAGCAGTCGAGACACCTGGACCCTCCCATGCTGTAGGGCTTGCTCTTGACCCAGTTTGGCTTGCAACTGTCTTTGTGTCACAATGCGGTGCCCAGGAACTTGATGCATAGCAGGTAGTGTAACTAACAGCTCCTTACCTTGTGTATCTGTCACAGTTGGAGAAGAAATCCACTAGGCAAGCAAAGAGGTAGGTCTCTGTGAAGAAAAGAGAGGAACAGGGAGAAGTCGTCAGCAATGAAGCAGCTTGATCAAACGCAGGGAAAGGTTTCAGCTCAAACCTCCCATAAAGTTATATTCAGCGTTCAGAGATCTTGCTCGCTCATTTAATTTCCCCTCTTCAACAGTCCCACGGTATTCTCCTCAGTGTTCAGAGACCTTACCTGGCAGGTTGAAGAGTGTGTTAAGGATATAAAAACGCTCTGTATCATCTCTCTGGATAAACTTGTTTGGGTACCGTTCACGGATCTCAGGGCTGGGAAAAGAGAAAACACAAGATTAAATGTTCATATTTCTTCTTTCTTGTGCTCACACATATATAGAAAATGTCAGAAAAAAAAAATTAATTTGACATACAGTATAATTTCCAAGCATTTTCAAAGATCCATGCACCGAAAGGGGGTGAACGCTGGAAACACTCACCCTCGGAGGAAATTGAATCCATGGACACAGACCAGGATATTACCATAGGCGTCAACCTTTAACAGGTTTCCATACATGGTATCAAACACGAGGCCCCTGAAAGTAGGAGGAAATAAATGATGATACAAGTCTACAATACAGATACTTTACCAATGTATCTCTTGATCACAACATCTGGCATCTGCTATATTTCTAGAGCTGGCCCGATGTCATTTTTTGAGCTTCAATGCTTCGATAGTAATTAAGAGCGAATAATCAAAGCTTGGGGGAGAGATAACGGCGGCATGGGTGCGCAAGTCTGTGTGCATATTTAAGATTTTTCTTTTTACCACTGCCTTTAACTAGTAGACTTCACTGCACTGTAACTGTTTACTGTCCTGTTTTCTTTTTCTTTGTTTTTAGCTTTTTACCATTGCTTTTAATTAAATATTTACACGGTGAGAAATGAGTAGGTAATTGAGTGAAAAGATAATGAGAGTGAGATTTAACAGAGTGAAGGAAGTGGTCTCATGCCTAAGTGATTTACAGGAACCTCTGTCCACCTGTAAACGCAAATGGGACCAGAGTATAACGGGATCAAAGTGGCCTGCGGACAGACATGTCCTGGTTTCTCTGTAGTGTCCGAGGGTTTTTGGAATTTCAGTGGACCCAAAGATTGCTATGGACCCGAGTACAGACTAGCTAGAGAGAGTAGATTAAGTTTACTTCTTCTTTATTCTCTTTTCAAAATAATTGTAACTCAATTATTTGCTCAACCCCTCAGCCTGTTTTTATTTTCCATTTAACTCTTTTAACCCTGATTGTACACTGCACTGTAACTTTTATTATATTTTAATGTGTATTTTCTTCAATTTCCCTATGTTGCTTTTAAACTTTTTTATATTTCCCTGTTGCTTTTATGTAAAGCACTTTGAATTACCTTGTTGTTGAAATGTGCTACAAATAAACTTGCCTTGCCTTGCATGTGTTACAGAGAGAGAAAGAGAGAGAGTGCTCCGTTTATTTATTCTCATAGCTAGGCTAACTGAGTGATTATTACCAAATCTTTGTTTTAAAGTTTGTTATGGTGACCCATGACCCAAGTGCATGACTAAGAAAGGGAGAAATATTTATTGCAGGTTAAAAGGATCGGATATTGAGCAGCGGAAGAGCGAGGCAGAGTGAAAATAGATGCGTGCCGAACCCGGAACCCTGCTGTACAGAGCTGGGGGTCCAGAGTGAGAGAGTCCAATCAGAGCAGGTCCAGAGCAGGTCCAGAGCAGAATCTGGGAATAGTTTGGTTCAGATGGTGTCAAGCGTGTGTGGCGGCAACCAGGTGAGGAGTACAAAGACAAGTGTGCCTCGCCTACAGTCAAGGATGATGTTAGGAGTGTCATGGTCTGGGGCTGCATGATTGCTGCCGGCACTGGGGAGCTACAGTTCCGTGAATGCCAACATGTACTGTGACATACTGATGCAGAGCATGATCCCCTCCCTTCGGAGACTGGGCCGCAGGGCAGTATTCCAACATGTTAACGAACCTAAATATACCTCCAAGACGACCACTGCCTTGCAAAAGAAGCTGAGGGTAAAGGTGATGGACTGGCCAAGTATGTCTCCAGACATAAACCCTACTGAGCATCTGTGAGGCATCCTCAAACGAAAGGGGGAGGAGCGCAAGGTCTCTAACATCCACCAGCTCCGTGATGTCGTCATGGAGGAGTGGAAGAGGACTCCAGTGGCAACCTGTGAAGCTCTGGTGAACTCCATGCCCATGAGGGTTAAGACAGTGATGGAAAATAATGGTGGCCACAAACTTTTGACACTTTGGACCCAATTAGGACATTTTCACTTAAAGTCTAACCGGCGGTTTAGACATTAATGGATGTGTGATGTGTTATTTTGAGGGGACAGCAAATTTACACAGTTATTAGGGGGAAAACAATTGCAATTTTTCTGCCAGATATTGCAATTATGATTCGATTTGCAATTATTTTGGAAGAAGAAAAAGTTCAGATATATTTCAAAATTCCCTGCCAATCTATTTTTGATGGAAGCTGCGTCAAGCAGAACAGAGCAGATGAACCGGACAGGAAGTCAGACGGCATAGAGAATCTGGTCGATTTTCAAAATAAAAGACACCTGTGCTGACTCCCGATTGTATATCAACAATTAACAGTAACATTAAAATAGACAAAAAACAAACTATTTAACAACGTAGCCTACTAATCATGATAGAAGCACAACCATCAAGGACAGCTGAACAAATTAACAAAATCTGAACAAGTCAGCAAATTCAGGCAGAAAAAACGCTCTTATTCTGAAATATTCCATGTGCAATATGTAGCCTGCGGAGACCAGCACAAAACCAGTTCACAGAGAGCTGTTATCCATAGTTGAAGCACACAAAATGACAAATTAACAGCACGTCAACAACGTAGGGCAGGCTAAACACTCCGCTGCTGAAACACTTCAATGTGAGTTGACAAAGGACAAAGTCATGGCACAGCCGCTCCCTGTGTCTGTTCGTCTGACGCCAATATCCCACGTTTTCCTCTGGTTTCGTTTGTTGTTGTAAAATGTACACACTGTGTGCCCATTCTGATTGGTGAGTAGGACTCTAACAGGAGGCGTATGGTGCTTGTGATTGGTTAGAAATTCTGTCACACAAGGATGACAACGGAGTGAATCTGTAACTGCACGACTGTTTAAAACGGGTCAGATGCGCTGTATAATTAACCTACATTTTAATCGCAGTCTTCACAATTAGCTAATCGCGTTCATTCAAATAGCAATTTTGATTTGAAAACGATTTCGTTCAGCCCTAACTGTTATACAAGTTGAACACTCACTACTTTACATTGTAGCAAAGTGTCATTTCTTCAGTTTTGTCACATGAAAAGATATAATCAAATATTTACATATATGTGAGGGGTGTACTCACTTTTGTGAGATACTGTATTTCCACTGAGTTTAGGTTGAAGGGCTACAATTATAAGAGGTAATAGAAGCAGCAGTTTGCCATTGACCTGATGGCCATCGTCATCATCATGATATCTGCGTGGTGGGGTGCGACTGGTCTGACCTGGTGGGAAAGGACGGGTCATAGACGAAGCTGAGCAGCTCCTGGGGGTAGCCGATGGAAACCAGCCGCTCCACTGTGAGTTCAAAACCTAGTGACTCGTACTCCGGTGACTTGTACACTAGAAATTAAACACACACGTACAGACAGGTTACCACATTTCCCCCCAACAAAAGAGCACAATATACAGTTTGTACAGTTTGGTGTCCAATCTCCTGTTGAAGCCACAGATTTTGGTGTCGACATTTTGTGCAATGTTGACGATTGTGCAATGCTATGTCTTCAGTTGCTTTAATCACTGTTACAGCTTGATAAGCTTGGTATGTTAGTGTTTGTTCATTATCTAGCTTCTACACAGCATGAGTGGATGGTTCAACAAATCAAGAGAGAGCAAGAGAGAGAGAGATAAAACAATACAGAAATAATAAAACAAATCAAATAATGGCAACATATGTCCAGATTTGGTCCAGACAGTTAAAACTTGAAAAAGGTTGCCAGGAGAGCTCGTAGAACATGTAATCAAGGAAACCATGTGAGGAAAGAAGAACTAAGGAAACATTCTTGGAGAGAAATGAGACGTCCCTTTGTAATAAACGTCACATAAAATAAGTCCGTTTCTGATGACAGTGGCAGCTGATCACAGCTGGATCAGTGGTCAGTCGGCTTTAACAGCAGACTTTTTATGGAGTTTGTGCACTCCAATACTAATAAAGGCTCACAGTTATAACTGCCGGAGGAGCAGTGTTTTCTCTCTGTACATGTTTAACAAACACCTTCAACACCTGCACATAAATAACAACCTGCGTTCTGGATTTATACTGTGTACTGTCCTGCTCAGAGGCACAGGAATCATTTCTACTGGGAGAAACTCCGGTATGAAACTCCAGTGATGTTGTGATGTATCAGATCAGCTGCAGCGTCCAATCAATGATTGATATCCAGTACAGGGTCGCTCATGACTCCTCAGAGATCCCTCCTCGCTCCTCAGAGCAGAAGGACTTTCGGTTCAAGGGAGGGTCGAAGAGCGAGGAAATATTAAATAAGACCTTTGGGACGTCACTGTCTGGGGAGCTCACTCATGTTACGCAATATATACATGTGACTTTTTTAAGGCTACCTCATCCACTGAGGGCCTGTGATGTTGTCTCAGTATTTTGATAACAGGATGTTCTCACTCTACAGTAGTACCCCCCACCCCACGGTATTAATAAGGGCCTTGATGTTCTGCACGTAAATCCACAAGGAAACAGGATCAGGCGTGAAAATGAAAAGTCACTCAACTTTCAGCAGCAACTCTAATGAGCCCTGCCAGAACAACGCGCTCCCACCCTGTCACCGCCAGAGCCAGATATTTACCCCGGGGCCAAACCAAAACCGAGGCCAGGGGTGGGCCCTGAAAATAAAAACACTGATTGATGCTAGGCTAAGAAAAGGCTGGCATAGGATTAAAATGCTATCTGACACTGGGAAAAGAGTAAGTCAGATGTTATTAATACAAAACGGAGAATGCGCTTGTGTTGTTGCATGCTTTCTACACTCCCAGTGGGGAGGTGGAGGGCCACTGGAGGGGAAGAAATATTGGCTGATGATGCTTAGAAAGAGGACAAATGTGGGGGAACAGCACTGCAGGATACACAGGAAAACATCTGTGTCCTACTCTGCAAAATGTGTGCACTTGTGTCTAATGCTGGGTTACAGGAGCATAATGAGTATGCACTGAGTTACAGGAAAATCTTCAGTAAAGCTTGGTCCGTTTGTTGACACTCCTACTCTGTAAGCCTGTTTCTGCATTATAATCACGTAACCTCTTGCAGTTCACCCCCACCCCCGCCCCCCGCTGTGTCTCCCAGCAAACTGAGGGTTTGGGCCCTCTGCCCAGAGCAGTAGCGTACACCAACTAAACTGCCTTTCCTCCGCCTCCTCGCTCATTTTTCACCCTCTGTCACCTTTAGTATCATCACTCTCTTTCTTTAGCTCACTGGGCAGCTCTTTTCACATGTTGACCTTGGGACACTGGTGTATTACACTCTCACAACTTACTCTAGGATATATAAAATCCCGTCTCAATATAAAAGTGAGTAAGGCTAATCATTTAGGATCAGGAGGGTTTTTTGCTACACAATTATTACACAACATTTTTTTTAAATACCTATAAAAAAAATATATAATAATAAATATTGATAAATATGACTAAATGTGCAACCCACAAAATAAAGTTTGGGAAAAAAAACTTTGTTACAGTGTTGCTTAAGAACTTAATAAAAACTAAATAAAAATGTATTCTTAACATGACTTTAGAACCCCTGCTATCTCGGTTTCAAACATTTAATACTCTTCTATTACATTATTGATTAAGGAGTTTAAAAACTTGCAAATACGCTTTATCAGGAGTCTGTGGGTATGGTTTGATCAGATTTTATCGACATTACTTACAAAGGACTGGTTCAGATAAGTGATAAACACAAATACAGGAAATCAAATGTGACAACGAAAACTTTGACAGGCTTGGAAAAACACTGCAGAATCCAACACTGACCACAATCTTTGTCTTTAGCTGTTTTTGGTTGTTGTTTTGACGTTTTAATGACACTAAAACCATTTACTTCCGAAAACCTTGAACAACTCCACACGGACACATGAAACCCATGACCTACATTGTATCCTTTTCAAAAGTAATTCTAGACGTCCCCACTATTTCACATGTTCGAAGGCATGAGCAGTAGTTCCATGCTGTAAACCCCTTCTCACATTTCTAACACTGTCACTATGCATGTGTATGTACACACACACACACACACACACACACACTCCTTAGAGCTGAGGCGAGGAGCAGCCCTTAGGTTCAGGGTTCTGTTACTTTGTATTTCTGATGAGATTGTTGACAGTTAATTATACATGAGCTGCTCCTATTGCTGATGTGTGGGGTAGCTCGCCAGAGTTTCCTTCAACAAACTCCGACTTTCTCTCTGACTCCTCCCCACCTGCTAGGCCTGAAGGAGCTATCTGACACACCATTTTATTTCCTCTTCCATCCATTTTATTCAGATTGTCCGAGATTGGGTCAGGCGGCAGAAGGCTAAGCAAAGTATTCCAGATGTCCCTTTCCCCAGCAACATTTTCCAGCTCTTCCTAGGGGACCCCGAGGCGTTCCCAGGCCAGATGACAAATATAATCCCTGATCCAGCCAATTCTGGATCCAGCCCAGCCTCCTCCTAGTTGGACATGCCTGGGAAAACATCACCTTTTGACGAGAAGGAACAGCGGCCCTACTCCGAACTCCTGCTAACTAAAAGGCTGAGCCCAGTCACCCTACAGAAAAAGGTATTTTCACTTGCTTGTATCGGCAATCTCGTTCTTTCGGTCATCACTCACAGTTTATGACCATAGGTCATGGTTGGAATGTTGATCAATTGGTAAATCAAAAAGCTTTGCCTTCTGGCTCAGCTCCCTCTTCACAACAACAGTCCGGTACAACACGTGCATTACTACTGAGGCCACACCAATCCTCCTGTCAATCTCATGCTCCATTTTACCATAAATTCAGTGATACTTAAACTCCTTTCCCTTGGGGCAGAAACTCAATCCACTGGGACTTGAAGATGCTGACTCTTATCCCAGCCACTTCACACTCAGCTGCAAACCGCCCAAGTGCGTGCTGAAGGTTCCACTCCAAGACCTAAGATACTCTGGTACTAAAGTACACTAATGACTCACCCTATGCTTGAATATGGTGTTTGTTATGGTTAATCCATGACTAGCACAGAAGTCCAATAACAAAACACCACTTCCATTTAGATTAAGCAGGCCGTTCTTCCCAATCACCCCCCACCAGGTTTCTCCATTGTTGCCTATGTACGCTTTGAAGTCTCCAAGTAGAACTAGAGTCCATATCTGGAATCCTTTCCAGGATGCAACCCAGAGACTCCAAGAAGGCATATCATGTTGGAGATTATGTGAATATTTCTGAGTGAGGATGACTGTGGTGCAGCTGAAACAACTTTAAGATTGTAAAACTTGATAAAATGCATTTCAAAAGTGAGTTTTTTGAATATAGGCTGAATTTAGTCTTAACATGTTTTGAAAGCATTTGAGTGACTATGTTGAAATATTTACACACGTAAAATAGACATCTAAAATGTACAGTCAGTTTGAAACTAGACACCTTTTCAACTGCAAATTCATTATTAGTGGGTCAGAATGTGACTTTTCAATCATAAAATAAATAAGTAAACTATGTCTTCGCTGTTTGATCCATATTTTCATCTTCACTTGCAGCCACCTGCATTTTGTCCCCACCAGGTTACGGCATCCATTAGGAAATTACTGACTACTTTCTCCACTTCCGTTTTTTAAATGTCATGGTCCACATGGCATACATTCATATTTCTAGCACCACTGGATTTACATGGAGGCTAATGGAGGTTCTGCGCTTTATTTACCCATTCCTCATGCTCGTGCTTAACCTGGCTTAACTCAGAGTGAACATACTCGAGATGATTGAACTAACTCAGATCATCTGTTCTGGAACTAGTACCGAAAACTCTTCAGTTTCCCATCTCAGGGTTAGTCAACTCAGAGTTCAGGGATAGAGTCAGAGTTTAGCAGTGTTTGCACCACAGGAACTTTCCCCAAGGACTAGGAACCTTTGGAGTGCATTTCCACCCAAGGGGCCAGGGTCTAAATTAAGTTTCCCCCCAAAAATGTTTAGGGGGTATACTTAAAATAACAACAACTTTGGGGCTTGCAGCACAGAACATTTCTGATTGGTCGAGTACTCGGGAGCATTTTATTTCAGGCACCATTTTAAAAATTCTGAAACGACAAACTGATCGCATGTAGAGTTTGTTTTGTTGTTGGACGAAATCCATCGGAATTGGAAACGACGACCCACAATGATAAGGTGTACGCAAAAATCTCCTGCAAGTTAAACAAGCTGGACATCAAGTTAAACAAGCTGGACATCTTAAACCTGCATTCTGGAACAGGCCTCTGATGACTTCAGGCCTGTAATGTACACCCCTCACACACAAGGTAAACAACCTGCACTCTTCTACTAATAGACCACTAAATCCAAATCATATAAAGTGTTGAAATTTTATCTGAACCATGTCACATTGCAAT